CAATAGATATTGTCATTTCTGGCTTTGGATTCGTGTTTACCAAAGGTTCAAGGGTAGCTTCTTTACTATATAACTGTCTAACTTAACTTTGTTATTAAGCTATTATGAACACAATCTGATTATTCTTTATTTCTCTCCCTTCTTATTCCTCCTCCTCCATTCCTTATATGTTAAGTGCTTTATTTTGTACTCTTGTGTTTCTTTTGACTTTTTTGTGGATAGTTGATTTTATTTTTTGCCTTTAGTTAGTATTTAGTTGGTTTGCTCTCTTTAGTGTAATTTTATTTTCTCTGGTAACATCTGTTTAGCTTTAGGAGTCCTTCCATCTAGAGCAGTTCCTTTAAAATACCCTGTAGAGGTGGTTTGGGGGAGGCAAATTCCCTCAACTTTTGCTTATCTGGAAATTGCTTAATCCCTCCTTCAAATTTAAGTGATAATTATGCTTGATACTGTATTCTTGGTTCAGGGCGCTTCTGTTTCATTGCATTAAATATATCATGCCATTCTCTTCTGGCCTGTAAAATTTCTGTTGAGAAGTCTGATGATAGCTTGATGGGTTTTCTTTTGTAGGTGATCTTTTTCTCACTCTGGCTGCCTTTAATACTCTGTCTTTGTCTTTGATCTTTGCCATTTTAATTATTATATGTCTTGGTGTTGTCCTCCTTGGGTCCCTTGTTTTAGGAGATCTGTGGGCTTGCATGGTCTGAGAGACTATTTCCTTCCCCAGCTTGGGAAAGTTTTCAGCAATTATTTCTTCAAAGACACTTTCTATCCCTTTTTCTCTCTATTCTTCTTCTGGTACCCCTATAATATGAATATTGTTCCGTTTGGATTGGTCACACAGTTCTCTTAATATTCTTTCATTCCTGGAGATCCTTTTATCTTTCTCTGCCTCAGCTTCCCTGTATTCTGTTTTCTGATTTCTATTCCATTAAACATCTCTTGTATCTCATTCCATTTGCTCTTGAGCCCTTCCATTGATTGTTTCATTTCTGTTATCTCTTTCCAGGCTTCATCCTTTAGCTCTTGCATATTTCTCTGCAGGTCCATGAGCATATTTATGACTTTTATTTTGAATTCTTTTTCAGGAAGATTGGTATATCTATGTCACCATATCCTCTCTCTGGAGTTGCCTGGGTGATTTTTGACTGGACCAGATTCTTCTGCCTTTTTTTGGTGATACAGGAGGTTGCAGGCAGGTGGCATATGTGTCAGCTAGGAGAACAAAGTCCCTTCCTGCTTATTTGTTGTCTTGCCCTTCCCCACTGCCTCTGCCATATATCTGCATGCTGGGAGCAGCCTCTGGGATTATCTCCTGAGCTGCCATGTGTGGGGTCATCCTTGGGATAGCATAGAACCTTGCAGGGGGTTGCAGCCATGCCGGGTGTGTTCTCCTGTGAGAATGGCTCCTTCATGCCTTCCAGACCTTGCCTTGGCTTCTGGTGCCTGTGCCAGTTACCCCACACTGGAAGGCATTCTCTGGGATAATCTCCTCAGGATAGCCTAGAGCCCTCAGTCTAGCCTAGAGCCCTGTGGGGTATCACAGCCACCCTTGGTGTTTTCTCCTGTGAGAACAGTGCCCCTTCATGCCTTCTAGGCCTTGCTCTGGCTTACTGCCTGTGCTAGTTACCCACACACTGGGAGATAGTCTCTGAGATAATCTCTTGAGTTGCCATGGGTGGGGCCACCCTCATGCCAGCATGGGGCACTGCGGGGGCTTGCAGCCATGCTGGGTGTGTTCTTCTGTGAGAACGGTGCCACTTCATGCCTTTCAGACCTTGCTCTGGCTTCCGCTGCCTTTCCTGGTTAGCTGCACACTGGGAGGAGACTCTGTGTGGTTGCCGTGGGTGGGGCTGCTCTCCAACTGCTCTGTAGCTCTGGCGGGTCAGCTGGTCTGCTTGCAGTGCCAGTCAGCAGGAATGAATGGCAGGTTGCTTATTGCCATTATGGGCTTCAGGGCTGCTTTATCCCCAGGGGTTAGGAGGCCCAAAATTCCCCAAGATCTTCAGCCTGCTGGGCTGAGTGTGCAGGAATGATTTTGTTCAGCTGTTGAGCCCTTGTCCCATTAAGACTTTTAAAAAGCTTCTGCTTCCCTTTTGTTCCAGGGGAGGCAGCTGTGGGAACCCACTCACAGTCTCCATCTCAGACCCTACCCTTCCACCACTCTAATATCCAGTACACCATGCAATGTGTGTCTGTGCTCCCAGTGAAGGTTACTAGGGCTGGTTATTTAGTAGTCCTGTGCTTTCATTCCCACCCCACTCTGACTCTTTTTCTCCCGCTGGTGAGCTGGGGTGGGAGGAGTGCTCAGGTCATGCAGGGTCACAGCTTTATAACTTACCCCACCTCCCATGAGATTCTGAGTTCTCACAGATGTAGACGTAGCCTTGCTGTTGTACTGTATCTTCTGGTCTCTCTTCTAGGAAGTTATGTTTGTTGTATTTTCAAAAATATATATGGTTTTGGGAGTTAATTTCCACCACCTTACTCACTCCGCAATTTTGAGCCTCCTTGTCTTGTAAGTCACTCTTACTTTCATTTTCTGCTGGGTAGCCATTCTGGCCAAAAGCGTGCACAGGTCAGCCACACTAAAATGCCACTAGGGTAGGCAACCACTGGAAAATTCCCATGACAGGATAAGGTAGTCACAGATTAGGGACAGAGCATTAGTCTCCCTGCCACCTGCAAGACAACATCTGTGCAATCAGGCACACAGTAAATCACACCCACGTCCAACCCCTGGTCATCTCCCAAATAGGTTTTTTCTTGGCTGCCTGACACTATCTCCTTTCCAGTTTCCATTTGGTTAAGCCACCTTCTGGCTCCCACAAATACCTTCTGCCAGCCTTGATTTCCACTGTCTCCAGCTCTTGGGATCATATCAGATCATAGTAAGCCCCCTTTGACCCTTCAGTAGGATGCCACAACATTAGTCTTACATATCCCTCTTGGAGATATCTAAGGTGGGATGCGTTAAAGTCCTGGGAAGCCGACTGTGCCAGGACCTCTGGGATAGACTCTGGTATGCTGTGCTCTCTAACCCATTCCACAGGATTAGTCTTTCATTCCTCCATCCTGTTGCCAGAGATGTCTAAAACTGGAATAGATTTACAACTTTTGGGATGCTGAGACCTCCAGTATAGACCCTGGGATACTAGGCTCTATAACCCATTCATTTATTCCTAGATGGGCAACCAGGAATCCATTCCAGCTACCATGCCACTGTGCTGTATCCTTTCTCATTGGTCCCATATAGATCCAGAGACACTTAAAAAGAAAAGACTAGATATTTTGAGCCAAGATGATGGCATGAGTAGGGCAGCAGAAATCTCCCAAAACCATATATATTCTTGAAAATACACCAAATACAACTATTCCTAAAAGAGAGACCAGTGGATACAGTACAACAGCGAGGATACATCTACATCTGCGAGAACTCAGTACCTCAAGAAGGGGGAAGATGCAAGCCACAGCCCAGTGGGATCTGAGCACTACCCCCACCACAGCTCCCCTGCAAGAGGAAAGGAGTCAGAATGGGGAGGGAGTGGAAGCACAGGAATGCTAAATAAGCAGCTCTAGTAATTGGACTGGGAACACAGACACACATTGAATGGTAGGCTGGATAGTAGAGAAATAGAAAAGCAAAATCTGTGAGCAGATCTCCTCAGCCGTGTCCCCTGGGACAAAAGAAAAGCGAGTGCTTTTTGAAAATCTCAAAGGCACAGGGGCCTCACAGTTGGATAGAAGTGTCCTGGCACACTCAAACCAGCAGGCTGGGAATTCTGAGGAAGTTCGGGCACCCCAGCCATCTGAGTGACAATGCACACTTGAAGCCCCTCATGGCAATAGGCAGCCTGCCAGTTATTTCTCCAGCTGGCATGGCCAAAACACAGTGGCCAAGAAGCCAGAGAGCGGCTGCACACGCCTGTGGCAGCTGAGCAGCCAGAGAGTGGCACATGCACCTGCAGCAGCTGAGCAGCCTTAGAGCAGCTGTGCCCACCTGCCGAGGTGGAGCAGCTGGAGAGTGGCTGCACACACAGCAACTTCCCAGAGTCTTCTCCAGGCATGCAGCTACCCAGGCCAGACCCAGAGGCCATGGCCAGTGTGAAACTGCCTGGTGCTGGCAACAGAAAGTGGGGCAAGGTGCGAAGGGGCACCGTTCTTGCAGGAGAGCACACCCGGCATGCCTGCTCCTCCCTGCAGGGCTCTGGGCTACCCTGACAGCAACCCTGCCCACAGCAGCTTAGGGGATTTACCTGGAGGCTGCTCCAGGAGTGCAGGTAACAGACACAGGCAGTGGAGAAGAGAAAGGCATCCAGCAAGCTGGAAAGGACTTTGTTCTCCCAGCTGACACACATGCTACCTGCCTACAGCTACCTCTATTGCAATGAAAAGGCAGGAGAACTTTGTCCAGTCCAGAATTACCCAGACAAACCATGACAGAGGACCTGGGGAGTTATATTTAACCAATCTTCCTGAAAAAGAATTCAAAATAAAGGTCATAACCATGCTGATGGACCTGCAGAGAAATATGCAAAAGCTAAAGGATCAAGTTGGGGCTGAGAATACAGAAATAAAACAATCTCTGGAAGGACTTAAGAGCACACTGGATGAGGTGCAAAAGGCCATTAATGGAATAAAAATGAGAGAACAGGAAAACAGGGAAGGTGAAGCAGGGAGAGATAAAAGGATCTTCAGGAATGAAAGAATATAAAGAGGACTTTATGGCAAATCCAAACAGAACAATACTCACAATATAGGAGTACCAGAAGAAGAAGAGATTGAAAAAGGGATAGAAACTGTCTTTGAAAAAATAATTGTGGAAAATTTCCCCAAACTGGGGGAGGAAAAAGTCTTTCAGACTATGGAAGCCCACAGAACTCCCAACACAAGGGACCTAAGGAGGACAACACCAAGACATATAATAATTAAAATGGCAAAGATAAAAGACAAAGACAGAATATTAAAAGCAGCCAGAGAGAAAAAAGGTCACCTACAAAGGAAATCCCATCAGGCTATTATCAAACTTCTCAACAAAAACCTTACAGGCCAGAAGGGAGTAGCATGATATATTTAATGCAATAAAACAGAAGGGCCTTGAACCAAGAATACTGTATCCAGCATGATTATCATTCAAAAATGAAGGAGGGATTAAAAATTCCCATAGAAGCAAAAGTTGAGGGGATTTCCCTCACACAAACCACCTGTACAGGATGTTTCAAAGACACTGCTCTGTATGGAAGCACTCCTAAGGCTAAATAGATGTCAGCAGAGAAAATAAAATCACAACAAAGAAAGTAGACCAACCAAATACAAACTAAAGGCAGAAAATAAAATCAACTACTCACAAAAGCAGTCAAAGGAAACACAAAAAGCACAGAATAAAAGACGTAACATATAAAGAATAAAGAAGGATGAATAAGAAGGGAGAAAAATAAAGAATCATCAGACTATGTTTAAATAGTTTAATAAGAGATTTAAGACAGATGTTTAGATAGCAAAGGAACTGGAACATTTGGTAACTACCAATCTAAAGCCCACAATGGCAATAACTACATATGTTTCAATAATCACCCTAAATGTAAATGGACTGAAAGCAAAAATGAAAAGATACAGAGTAATAGAATGAATAGAAAAGCAAGACCCATCTATATGCTGCTTCCAAGAGACCCACCTCAAACCCAAGAAATACACAGACTAATAGTCAAGGGATGGAAAAAGATGTTTCATGAAAACAATAGGTAGACAAAAGCAGGTGTTGCTGTACTTGTATAAGACAAAATAGACTTCAAAACAAAGAAAGTAACAAGAAGGAAATTATATAATGATAAAGAGGTCAGTCCACCAAGAGTATATAACCATTATAAATATATATGCAACCAATACAGGAGCACCAACATATGTGAAACAAATACTAACAGAATTAAAGGAGGAAATAGAATGAAATTCATTTGTTCTAGGACACTTCAACACACCACTCACTCCAAAGGACAGATCCATCAGACAGAAAATAAAGGCACAGAGGCAATTAACAACACACTAGAACATATGGACTTAACAGACATTTACATAACTTTACACTCAAAAGCAGCAGGAGACACATTCTTCCAAGTACACATGGAACATTATCTTGAATGGACCACATGCTAGGCCATGAAAAGAACCTCAGTAAATTCAGAAATATTGAAATTCTACCAACCAACTTCTCAGACTACAAAGGCATAAAACTAAAAATAAATTGTACAAAGAAAACAAAAAGACTCACAAACACATGGAGGGTTAACAACATGCTCCTAAATAGTCTATGGATCAATGACCAAATTAAAACAGAGATCAAGCCATATATGGAGACAAATGACAACCACAGCACAAAGCTCCAACTTCTGTGGGATGCAGCGAAGGCAGTTCTAAGAGGAAAGTGTATAGCAATCCAGGCCTATTTAAAGAAGAAAGAACAATCCCAAATGAATAGTCTAAAGTCACAATTATTGAAACTGGAAAAGAAGAACAATTGAGGCCCAAAGTCAGCAGAAGAAGGGGCATGCTAAAGATCAGAGAAGAAATAAATAAAATTGAGAAGAATAAAAGAATAGAAAAAATCAAAGAAAACTAGAGCTAGTTCTTTGAGGAAATAACAAAATAGATAAGCCCTTAGCCAGATTTATTAAGAAAAAAAGAGAATCTACACACATCAACAGAATCAGAAATGAGAAAGGAAAAATCATGATGGACCCACAGTAATACAAAAAATTATTAGAGAATACTATGAAAATCTGTATGCTAACAAGTTGGGTAACCTAGAAGAAATGTACAACTTCCTAGAAAAATACAACCTTCCAAGACGGACACAGGGAAAAACAGAAAATCTAAACAGACCAATTACCAGCAATGAAATTGAAGTGGTAGTCAAAATACTACCCAAGAACAAAACCCCTGGGCCAGATGAATTCACCACTTAATTTTATCAGACATGTAGAGAAGACATAACACCCATTCTCCTGAAAGTTTTACAAAAAACAGAAAAGGAGGAAATACTTCCAAACTCATTCTATGAGGCCAGCATCATTCTAATACCAAAACCATGCAAAGACCCAACAAAAAAAGAACACTACAGACCAATATCCCTGAAGAACATAGATGCAAAAATACTCAACAAAATATTAGCAAACCAAATTCAAAAATACATCAAGAGGATCATACACCATTATCAAGTGGGATTCATCTCACAGATGCAAGGATGGTACAACATTCGAAAATCCACAACATAATCCACCACATCAACAAAAAGAAGGACAAAAACCACATGATCATCTCCATAGATGCTGAAAAAGCATTTGACAAAATTCAACATCCATTCATGATAAAAACTCTCAACAAAATGGGCATAGATGGCAAGTACCTCAACATAATAAAGGCCATATATGAAAAACCCACAGCCAACATCATACTTAACAGTGAGAAGCTGAAAGCTTTTCCTCTAAGATTGGGAGCAAGACGGGGATGCCCACTCTCTGCACTGTTATTCAACGTAGTAGTGGAGGTCCTAGCCATGGCCATCAGATAAAATAAAGAAATACAAGGCATCCAGATTGATAAAGAAGAAATAAAACTGTCACTATTTGCATATGACATGATATCATACATTAAAAACCCTAAAGGATCCAAACAAAAACTACTAGAACTAATATCTGAATTCAGCAAAGTTGCAGGGCACAAAATTAATAACCAGAAACCTGTTTCTTTCCTATGCACTTTGAACGAGCAGAAGGAAAAATCAGAAAAACAATTCCATTTACAATTGCATCAAAAAGAGTAAAATACCTAGGAATAAAATTAACCAAAGAAGTGAAAGATCTTTTTCCTGAAAACTACAAGACACTCTTAAGAGAAATTAAAGAGGACACTAACAAATGGAAACCCATCCCATACTCTTGGCTAGGAAGAAATAATTTTGTCAAAATTGCCATCCTGCCTAAAGCAATCTACAGATTCAATGCAATCCCTGACAAAATACTGACAGCATTGTTCAATTAACTGAAACAAATAGTTTTTAAATTCATATGGAACCACAAAATACCCTGAATAGCCAAAGCAATCATAGGAAGGAAGAATAAAGCAGGGGAGATCTTGCTTCCCAAATTCAAGGTCTACTGCAGGGCCACAGTAATCAAGACAATTTGGTAGTGGCACAAGAAGAGACCCACAGAACAGTGGAACAGAATCGAGAGTTCAGGTATTAACCCAAACATATATGGTCAATTAATATATGATAAAGCAACCATGGGCATACAATGGGGAAATGACAGCCTTTTCAACAGCTGGTGCTGGCAAAACTAGACGGCTACATATAAGAGAATGAAACTAGATCATTGTCTAACATCATACACAAAAGTAAATTTGAAATAGATCAAAGGCCTGAATGTAAGTCATGAAACCATAAAACTCTTAGAAACAAACATAGGCAAAAATGTGTTGGACATAAACATGGGTGACTTCCTCATGAACATATCTCCCGGGCAACAGCAACAAAAGTAAAAATGAACAAGTGGGACTATATCAAGCTGAAATCTTCTGTACAACAAAGTACACCACCAATAGAACAAAAAGGCATCCTACAATATGGGAGAATATATTCATAAATGACAGATACAATAAATGGTTGATATCCAAAATATATAAAGAGCTCATACAGCTCAACAAACGAAAAGGCAAGTAACCCAATGAAAAAAAGGTCAGAGGAACTGAACAGACAGTTCTCCAAAGAAGAAATTCAGATGGCCAACAGACACATGGAAAGATGCTTCACATCACTTGTCATCAGAGAAATGCAAATTAAAACCATAATGAGATATCACCTCGCACCAGTAAGGATTGCCACCATCCATCCAAAAGACAACAACAAATGTTGGCTAAGATGTGGAGAAAATGGAACCATCCTACACTGCTGGTGGGAATGTAAATTAGTTCAACCATTGTGGAAAGCAGTAAGGTTCCTCAAAAAGCTCAAAATAGAAATACCATTTGACCCAGGAATTCTACTTCTAGGAATTTACCCTAAGAATGCAGCCCAGTTTGAAAAAGTCATATGCACCTCTAT